AAAAGCTACTACCCTTGCAATAGGATTGGGGTTATAAAAGTTGGAAGAATAGCAAGGAAAATGATGATAGTATGAAAGGAAATAGGAAAAGATAAATCCTGTATAATGTCTTGCCTTGTATGTGATATGATAAGAAAAATGAAAGGAAGAGTAGACGGAACTTCTCTAATAGGCTTTTCTTTTAACTTCCATCACAGTGTACTATCTTTCTTTAGAGGTTCCATGGAATACTTCTTACTCTAACCTCATCAATCATTAATTTTCTTCCCCTGATATCTTGTGCTGTGTTTTAAGATATATACAGGTACTCTAATATTTCCATTTTAAAGTGTAAATGTTATTTTGTAAAGCAGAGATATACAAGTCAGAGACCAAATGGATAGTAGGAAGCAGGACTCCTTAAAGATTCTCTCTTGAATGATTTATTTGAAAGTCTTTTACTATCCAAAGAAACTTTACTGCAACTGTTTTCATAGAAGTAGAAAAGGCTCTAGCACACAACCCACAGAGAAGATCTCAGCTTCTCAGCTTCTTTCTCACAAGCAGATTTTTCCCCTATAAGGTTTATTAGACAATGTATATCTTTTTATTTTCATTCTCAGAAAGAAGGTGTCTCTTTATTTTCTTCATCATCCATAGAATTTTTATCTTGATTGGTCACATATCTCATATCAAATCATAACTCTATATTGTGAAATATCTCATTAGAGCACATATTATGTGTTTAGCTTTTTTCTTAAGAAGATGTGAAGAGCTTGCATTGCTTAATCATTTAGAGCCTGGTTGTCATGGAGTGGCTTGTACCACTTACTCACATAGTTAACTGAATTATTTATAGTGATTAAAGGCTGTCACTAATTTTGATGATTGTATAAAATCTGATCTATAGATGTAAGACTTACAGTTCACTTACATAACAGATGAAATTTTAGTGATAGCAAAATAAATAGAATTTGAAGCCAGGATAGGGTAGTTGTTCTGGTACCCAGCATTTTAACCTCCAAGAATAATTTGTTAATTAACAGATCTGTTTTACTATAGTCTAGGAAAGATTGTTTAACTTAACTATGATATCTGTTTGACCAGTTTCTTTATGTTTCATCTTTATACATACAGAATACAATTTTTAAGCTTGGGATTCGTACTACCCTATCTTCAATCTGTAAATATCTCAGGAAATGCATAAGAAAAAGTATTTGATTAAAGGGTTTTGTCACATTTGTGTTTTAATTAATACAACATACAACATTTTTGTAGAAGTATGTAATCATATACTGGCATCTTTATACAACCTATAAAAATTAGAATTATTATATTGCTTCCTCATGAATATGTGCTGATCTCGTGTGAAGTTGCTCATCAGTCTTAGAATGAGGAATTCATATTGGGATAGTAGAGAAAAAGAAAGGCAATTTCTGATGTATGTACAGTATGATTAACTTTCTACCATTCTTAACAAAAATGTCCTCTAGTAGTATTAAGCCTATATGGTAATTTTGAATGGTACGATTAATCCTAGTAATGTAAGTATGAAAATGCTTCAAGATAAGTTTATTTGCTTGCTGTTCATAGTGGAAACTAAGAAACAGGAATCTTAACTCACTCATTGTTCTCACTACATATCACTATCAAATCATGTATCTATAAAAGTTTTTCATATTTAAATAGCCAAGAAATTTATCAAGACCAAATATTATATCCTACAGAACAGTGCACAAGAGGAGAACTTCTCCCAAAGTTAGTCAAAACACTGTAAAACCAACTATAATTTAGTAATCATTTCTGCCTTAAAATTTGTAGAGATTGGGATAGTGTTTACAAAAATTAAACAAATATTATACATCTCTCTTTTCTATGTAAAACTGTGCAAGCAAATGAAATACTAATAAAAATATTTCTTATTTGTGCTCAAGCTCACATCACACTGACAGGATTCAACTTGGACAGATCTTTAGTTATCTAATTTTAGTCTGAGATTTTCTTTTTATGGGGCATTTGTGTAAAGATTTATTTGCTCTGGGGAGCATCTTTCTCATTTCATATAACATTCACCTTTGGAAATTAAAGTGTATTTAAAGAAAATTCATTGGGATTTCATACAAACCTTCTTGATATCTCCAAGTCTATGTTTTACTTTTTCAATGCTTAAAAACTAATATTGGTTATAATCTGCATTTTAATCTGGAATCTACTTTTTGTCAATAATGTAAATGATCATGAAGGCAACATTTTTCCTAATTCCTTAGCTAGCTTTCAAGAAAGCATCATTTTTTCATAAACATTTCTTCCCTATTTCTCCCACAAATGTTTAAGTGCTCTTGTTTTCTTTTAAAAAATGAATAAATGCAAGGTGATCATAGAATCTGTGAGTGACTGGGTAAAAACCAGCAACAGAGAGCTAATAAATATTGAAAATGTACAATATCCTGGTAACTGCATTTCTACCTTCTATAGGAAATGTTGGATATTGTCATTTAAAACATTGTACAAGTTATAGGATATTTAATGTTTTTTTGTTGTTTTCATTTTCTTCCATACTTTGGTTCCTTTGAAATCAGATTTTATGCTGCTTTCGTATGAGTTTAGCACACAAAAGAGTTAAACATTATTATGAAAAGAACTTAATTATGTGTTTATATGTTACATTAAATATTTTCAGTATGCATCCTATACAAAATCCCAATAATTTGACTCTTACAAAACATTTTTGTAATTTATATATTTATGAAAAGTGGGATATAGGTAGAAACTTAGATTCTTTAGGGGAAAAGCATAAAAACATAAATAGAAATTTTCAGTAGAACATAATCTATGTGAAAATCGTGAAATAAAATGGCATTCCATATGTGACAAATGTATTTAGAGCATCTCTTGATAGAGTCAGCATTTCATAAATAGTAGCATTCACATATTCTTCTTTCCCTTTCTTCTTCTTTCATGCTAGAAAATAGAATTCCAATATTTGTAAAGCTTTTAATATGAGCCCAAAGTTATACTTCTCTGTACTGGACACATCTTTTTATTTCTATTTTAAGTCAAGTATATGGGAGGCAAAAAGAAGTTGCAGAAAGAGCACTTGTCTAATAACCAGGATTTCTCCATTTCTAACTGGCTAACTCAATTTTCTATCCTTGAGAAATCATTCAACCTTTCCCTGTTTTAATGTAGTAAGATAGTTAACATAATACTTGACTAATCTTTTTAAATTTATTTTATTTATAAGTTAGATACAAACTCTGAAAAGTATGCCAAGTAGAAACTATCATTATTATTATGCCCTACAAAGTGTACATGAAATTGGTATTTGTGATTGCAAATGTAGATGTTAGCAGTGATACAATATTTCACATACAATTGATGTGTAAAACTTTCAAACTTATGCTCTTCACTAAATAGCTGTGGTGAATATATTGCTATATTTTATCCCCATGTGTGAACAGAAGGGTATTCATGCTACCATTTTAGGGTGAGTTTTAGAAGAACAGGAGATTCAATAAATGGGGAAAGGGCAAATTAAATAATTAATTCTAAAAATGTGCAGGAGAGTTTGAAACTCCATTATCTTGCTACCTGCATGTTATTTAAAAAACTATAAAAAAGAAAAATGACCCATGCTGGTCTTGATTTTGATTAAATTATAAATATAATTACTTTTTAGAAATAACCAAGGTCAAGTGGTTTTTATTTAAAGAAATCTCTGTTTTTCAAATAGAGGTTTCAAAACCCCTTTATTCTAAAAATAAAAACCTGACTCTTCTGAAAATAATGGCTCCAAATAATTTTATTCATTAGACAAAGATGAATGAAATGACATACAATTTTATTATTTGCATGCAATGGTCTATTTTTCATTCTTTCAGATAAGTACCTCCATATTTGAACTAATTCACTAATAACTAACTGGACCCCAAACTAACCTCACTACTATTGTATATTTGATTTTATAATGACACACACTGAACATGTTTCCACAACGAAATACAGTTCATACAATTAATTGTACATTTAATTTGGATTGCACCTAAGACTAAAGCATGCTGATTTAATAAGCACATTGTTTTATCCCTTTCTTGTTCAGGTTAGAAAAACATGACCTTTCAATGGTGATGTTACTTTGTGCCAAATGATGTTGTGCCTATTTGAAAATTAGGAACACCTCATTAATTAAACAACTTAAAGAAACTGTGAAACTTACTTATTAGAACTCATTTAAAATATTGCCATTAGTTCAACAGTAAGTTAGAGCTACCCAAAAAGAAAGGTTTTAAAACCTAAAGTATGCCAGTAATTAAGTGAGCGAATAGTGAGGAAACACTTGGAATGAAATATGTGTTCTGGCTAGAAAAAATCATGCATGCATTTTGCTCCAGATAGAAACCTCCCAAACATAGAGAATATGGTATGTTATTTAAAAAATTAAAAAGTCAGCAGTTACTTTCAAATAACGTCCTGTCAAGGAAGGAAATCTCATCTTGAGAGAAAATTGCAATCCTTAACAAAGATAATAACTCACAGAAAATGGTGTGGATCTTTACTCATTCTTTAGACTGTGGAGGAAAAAAAAGAAAACCTCCTAAATTCCTTGCTTATTAAGCTAGTCATGCATTTCATTGCAGGTTGTAAAGCAGTAGAACATGCACAAGGGGCTCATAAGCATATTTTAGAGTTAGGGAATATCATTTACACCATTTTATATTGTCAATATTACCCCTAGAGAATAAAATTAAGTTTGAAACTACTGTAAATCTACAGTTTTGCTCACCTTTGTATAATTTTATTTTTAATAGAATGAGACGCACATAAATGAATATGTAATTAAGGGATAAACCTAATAAAATAATACATTTACAACACACTAGTTTATTCAAATCTTGAACATATATAGTAGAACAAAATACTTTTATAGAGTTTGTGTTTTTCAGTGACATGCATTGAGTAGAATTTGGATTTTCTTTGTTGGAATGAAATTTTGACCAGGTCTTATTGTTTTTTCTGTGCAGCCTGAACACTGATGCCGGAACTCCAACTGATCATAGGCACGAATAGGGTGCTGTAGCAGTTACCAGCTTATCTAGTGTTGTAATTCTTTAGATTTCATACTCAAATTCTTAAAATATGGAACCTTCAATTACTATTTGTTCATTACTGATAAATAGAATCTTGCACTTACAGAAACAATGTGCTAGAGAATGGGTTTCATATGTTTTTAGGGGATAATCATAATGATGAGTGAGTGAATATGATACTTTATACTTCTTTAATCCCTTTTTTTCAAGGAGTTCATAGTGCTTCACAAACATTATCATTTTAATTCACACAGCATCCTAGTGGGGTAAGTAGGTGGAAAACATTTTAATACACAGAAAATGTTATTTCTAGATGGTATGAGATAAAATGTAGACATTCCTGCTTTAAGTTGTGGTTACTATGAAATAGATTTATTTGTCAGACCTGATAATTAACAGAAAATATATCAGGAGGTAATTCATTTGTACAATTAATGAATATTTGTTATCATGGCCTGGGAACTCACTTTTCTAAAAGAAAGACTTTGCTGTAGGGTTCTCTAAGGAAATAGAGGAGCTCTAGTTTTTAGTGTTTACCATGTCCACAATTTTCTTGAAAAGTTGTTGGTGGAGCAAAACATTTAACTCCTTTCTGCTAGCATATTACTTATCTGTAAGAAAGGCAATGATAAATTAGACTACTAAAAAATCTCCTTTTATTCTTTTTCTTCTCTCTTATCCCCAGTCTTGCTTGCTCTTTGTTATGTGATCAATAAGCAAACAGAATGTAAAATATATAGACATAAGAAAATAGGCAGATGCAATGGTACATTTACATCATGAATATTTTCTACCTTCCACCCTCTGTTCTGGATAGGGCCAGATGCATAACATGTTCAAGTGATTAGGGCCAAATGGATCACTTGGCTTGAATTGCCCAGAGAATGGCTTTAAGTATTTTTAACTGTTTACTTAACAGATACATGGTCAAAGACTGATGATATATACCTGTCATCATTTTTATGCCTCCTAAGAATACAATAGATATTTAAGTAATCAGAAACATTTAATTTCACTCCTAAAATGCCTCCTTACATCAAGCAAATTTGATATATTTTGTTATATCTGCCCTAGAATTAAGTTCTGATGTGACCAAAGCACCACCCATCTTATGCAAAGGGCCAAATGAGTTTTATCCATTCTATTTGTTAGACTGGATAAAACTTTATCAGTATATACAGTTTTAGTTGGAATTGCAAATATTCTACATACTATGAAATATTCCATTATTTCATGTCAATGAATATGACATTTTAGTCATTTTATATACAGAAAGATTTTTTTAAGGCACAGACATTTGGCTTCAGATGCTATCTATGGACTATAGAAGGTCTGCTTTTGTAGAGTAGGTATGATGTTTTAGCCCAATTCAGAAAAAAAAATATATTAGAAGTAAGTCATAAATAATGTTTAGGCAAATCAAATGAAAAATTTTATTAATATCAGATATCTGACCTGAATAACAATGAAATATAACTGAAAATAAAACATTACAAAATATCTCAACATTATATACTCAAATGACACATATTGAATGATAGGGAAAATTGAATATCATTTTCAAATCAAGGCACTTAAAAACACACTACTGCTATTATATATATATATATATTTCACTTTGGTTGACTATGAAGAATCCCCTTGTATTTTCTTCTAGACTTTTTGCATATATCTACTTTTGGACACCTGATTTATCTAATTTTTTATAATCTTTAGGTATATAACACAGGAGGCAAGTCTTACACTTAAAGGATGTTGGGATAGCCATCTGTGGCCCTCAAAAGATAAATCAACCAAGCAGTATGTTGTCTCTTGTATGGAGAAGGCCATACCAGCCTTCTGTGCCATGGGTTATACCCATGTCAGGCAGTGTTGTGCTAAGGGAAGGGCTGCATGTAACTACATTTTTACTTAAAATTGATCATGTTTTTATACCTCAAATTTCCTCTTTACCTATTGGATGAATATTAAAGTAATAAACCTTGCCAGCACTCCCCAGATAGTATGAGTCCCTCCTTCTAAATTTCTAAGCTCCTAACATTCCTCCAAAGAGGGTTTGTTCATTGCTCTTCCTGATCTTTAAAATTGTTTACATCCAGAGTGTATATTAGATCATCTCTGTTTGGAGCTCAAGTAAGAACCCTCTTAAAAACATAAAACATAAACATTCAATTACTGATTAGCTGTTTCCTGTTCCTAATGAAGTGAACATGCTGGGTTTGTATTAAAATTCAGCTACTGTACTCCTCTGTTTATGGTTCCAGATGTTTTTGTTTTATCTAGGAGTTTGTTTTGACAGCTACTACTAAATGATAAATCACTCATATTATAGCTGAAATGCATTTTGAAATTGAAATGTGGCAAATTTTGAGATTGCTCCAAGGATCAGTGTCAGTTAGCAGGTCAATATTGGCTCCTACTTTTTGGTCATTTAGCATTGCCATATGTAAAACAATAACAGAATAGGTGTCAGCTTTATACAGCATGCTACACAGGAGTGTATTTTGCTACTGATCTTAACATTGGGGAAAAAATTTACTACTATGAAATCTCAATTTGTTGTATGCTGGGGAAAAGATTGATACATATAAATATTGTTTTCTTGCTAGCCTAGGTTTTTATTTTTTTAATTCTTTTTTATTTTCAAGTTGCTATGGAAACTGTTCCTGGTAGGCCTTATAAGCAGGGACATTTAATGAAGTGTGTGGGCAGATATGTTTGTCTCTTTTAATACAGACATGAATTATACATAATAAATGAGATTTTCAGTAACTGCATTTTTCTGAATGAAGAATATTGATTGTCTTTTGGCACTCACTGCTGTGTTTATGTACCTTTTTAGAGGGCATTATTTGTTTTGCCATTGCTTTCAAGTTTATAATGTTCACATTTTGTACTGCATGACTTGAGCTTTACTATATTGTATAAATTTGAATCCTGGTAAAATAACTGTCTTGCGTTTGATGTTGAAGATCTTTCCTATGATATTTAGGCTGTGTATACAGAGGATGAGGTAGACTGGAGAACTAAGCAACTAACTAGTTAGTTTCATCAGAATAAATATTCTCAGACTCCATGTACGAAGCAGTCTGAGCAATTATCTGGATTGACAAATTACCAGAGAGTTTCTAAAAATATAAGCTTTGTTTTATTTTTCTCTGCTAAAAATATCTGATAAATTCTATGTATTCCTTGGAAAAATATCTGGTTGCCAATTATGCGAGTTTTGTCCAATTTTATAGCTATTCTGACTAATACAGAATCAAACTCATTTATTCTCTTATTACCTTACTTTATCTTTATTTTTGGTTCAGAAATCTTATCCAAAAATTTCCATTGACAGACCATGATACCCTTTACACAGAAAGAATAAATATTTTAAAGTTACCATGCATAAGGTCCAAAAATGTATACTTTTCTCCTTACAGTGCTAAGCTTTGAACCAGAAATAAATGAATAATTTACACTAGGCATATCAGTTCAAAAATGATAATGTATTCTTTATATGTGAAGATAATACATTTGACTAATAGACAGCTTTTAGCATTTCTTAAGCATAGTTAATAGGTTCATACTGATTCATCCACACTTTCTTTCCCACTGTGTCTTATTTTGTAAGCAAAGGACAATTTGTGATTAGTAAGATATCCAGGTAATAAGCCATTGTTATGGAAAATAGCAAGGTTAAACTAAAAGAAATATAACAAATTTTTAAAAATCCTTCATTGATAATTTTTAGCCACACCTATCAAGTGTTACTTAAATCTAGGATACTATGAACTCTAGATGATCAACATTTAAATGAATAATGGTTTGACCAAAACTTCTGGTCATAATGGTATGCAGAGCTAGTCTCCCTTCATGCAGTATACACAGTCTTAAGGTTAAACTGGGGAGAGGAAATTCTAAATGTATAAAGCTGTAATTATCTTAGGTCAAAACTATATAACTCCTTTTCCCCTATTTTGGTATAGGGACTTCAATGTACCATTGTGTGTAAAAGGAAAAATAATATAGATCATTATAAACATTATAACAAATTTCATGGAAAAAAGTATTAGTCTTCAATTTCTTCAATGCTGCCCAAAGAAGAGCAGAAGCTATATCATGAAAATTGAAGAATTTTTGAAAACTGACATTAACATAATGTTGTTAACTTTTATAAATACTGAATCAGACTGTTACATTCAATCATTTTAGGTTCCTGAAGATAAAAGTTTTAGTAATTTTTAGCATGTATCAGATTTATTCTACAGAAGAACTAACTTGTTTTCTTTTTTTTAAAGGAGGTAACTATTACTGTTTAGCAATGGCACAACAGTTTTATTCGGCCTGAAAGGTCCTCGCTGGCTTTACATAAATGAAGATGCTTGTGATTCCAGTTTATCTCTGAAACTATTCAACATGGAGTATTTTCAATTGTGTTTGTCAGCAAAGCTTTGTTTACTTAAGCAGCTATTCAATCTGTTATATTAAAAAAGGAATATGTGTAAATTTTAATAACAATGATGTAAACATTGTCCTCACATTAGATTGACCAGTTTAAGAATATGAACTAAATCCTAATGGCTAAAGTAAATTGACCATATTTGATGCTTTTCTATGATCATTTCAGCTTGGCTTTTTGTCTTTTAAAAAAAATACTGTAGTGTGTTAGAGACTAGATTCTTATATGTATGGTTTCTCTGTTCTTCCATATATTAAGTTAAAGTATGCTTTCTTTGTTAAAAATGTACTTGCTAAACTTCAGTATAAATAAAAGCATTTTGACTTTGTCAATTGTTACTGAGTTTTTTTTTCACATTGCCAACTTCATTCATGGAAATATGTAGTAGTCAGTGCAAATCAAAATATAGGAAATAGGAAAGTGTTTGCAAAGTTTTCTCCATTTTGGTTATCCCAAATAAATAGGAACATACACCTCATTTCCACGCATTTTAACTGGCCAATATTCTTGTCCTCAATTATTTTATTTACCCACACTGTATTTCCTTTTTCTGGCTATATGTGTTTAATGAAGTTGTTGCTATGAAGAAGGATTGCACTTGGAAGCAGGAAATATTATAATGCACAAAGAATTGTAAAATGTTTGTGAACATATGTTACTTAAAAAATTCTTCTAGAGCCATTTTCAATGGAAAAAGACAACCAAAAATTAAGAAAGGTGTATATATCTACTCTGCCCACCCCCAAATTCCTGGTGCTTCTGTATGTTGAGGTGTTTAAGTAGTGAAAAACCAAGACCAGTCATAGCCCTGTCCTATGGTTTATACAATCTCTTTTTTTAACCTTATCATTGGTTCACTTTCAGTGAAATCATGGAGCTCATTCAAATTCTGGTTTACCTGAGAACCTCTCAGTTTTCCCTATGCAGTGGCAATACCACTTAGACACCTTGCCTGTCTCGTGAGACTATGTGTTGAGTCTCAGAGAACTTCTAGTTGGCCACTAAATGGCTGTATGTCTTCTACTTTGGCCATGTTGCTGCTTTCACAGGTATTTTGTCTCATAATCACCTCCTCATCATACTCATTTATGTCAAATTTAAGAGTGCTGATAAGACTAAAGGCTTTTTGCCATAGAGGAGAAAGATAATTAAGGGTTTTTATTGGCTAAGCTTGCCTGCTCTGGTAGTATTCTAAATCCCTATACATTTTGACACTCAAGAAACAGGGTCCACATAATCAATCATATGTTATGTAGGCTTGCTTTATTTAAAGTCCAATGTAATTACCAGAGGTCATCTATACCATTAGTAACCTAAATCATATAGTTCCAGGTGCCCAATACTGCTAAGGATTTAACATTACCTGGTAGCAGTTACTTGCACTGACTTAACATCAAAGGGGGTAATTCAGTTTTGGGTCCTGTGGTACTTCTAGGGAAATGGAAGCAACTATATTAATCCCTTGGTTATTTGGTACAAATGAAGAGACTGATCTATGAAATACTGGGAATGAGACCTATTCTCCATCTCCAGTATTTCATGGGATAGCATTGCTTGCCATTTCAAAACAAACCCTTGACTGTCCCTTATCACCACCCTCTTAATTTTCCATAAGAATCTTAGCCTTAAGAAAGTGAACTTGATACAGGAAGGAAGGAATTCTGTCATTAGAGGGCAGTGACCTCAATTTTTTTCCTCAAATACAAGCCCTCTTCTAGGGTTGAGAGGATAATTGCTACATTTTTTCCCTTTCACATTCTGGAAGTATGGCTACAGGAACTGCATCAGCCTCAGATAAATTTCAGTATCTCTGACCTCTTTAATTTTACATTTGTAGAGTACTGATGGGGGTATATCCAGCAACTACCACTGCAGACATGCTCATGAAAGCATAATATTTATTTACTATTCCAATATAAAAGTGTCTTTCCATAACTTTCAAGTTACATCACCTTTTTGGGAAGATTCAATTGTTGCCATTCTTCCCAATGTATGCTGTTTACGTTGAGTTACTCAGCAATCAATTACTATAACAAATACCTGAGATCAACTTATAAAGAGAAAAAAGTTATTTTGTGTCCTGGTTTGAGAGGTTCTGGCCTTTATTTGTCTGGTCCTATTCCTTTAATGCCTGTGGATCATATGGTGGAGGAAAACCATTTATCTCATGGCCAGGTCACCATAGAGAAGATGAAGAGGCTGATCCCATTATACTCTTCAAGTGCACTCTCAGTGATCCAAATTTCTCTGACTAGTTCCTGCCCCTTCAAGGTCTCTCCACTTCCCAGTAATGCACAGGCTGGCAACTAAGTCTTAACACGTGGATCTTGGGGGAACACTTATCCAAATGGTAGCATTCTGTTCATGGACCTCAAAGACTCATGTTCATCTCATAATGTAAAATGAATTTAGTCCAACTTCAAGAGTCCCCAGTGTCTTAAATATTCTATCATGGCTAAAAAGTCCATGTACAAAGCCTTCTCTGAAATTCTAGTAATATTCAGCTGTGATCCCTTGTTAAAAGTAAGCACATACTTCCATGATATAATGGTGATATAGACAGGTTATATATTTCAATTCTCAAAAGAAATAAGGGGAATTGAGATAAGTGAAAAGATCAGAGCAAAACCAAAACCCAGCAGAGCAAAGATTAAATTCTAAGTCTCCATGTCCAGAATTTTGGGCACACTGTCCTATGGCTCCAAAAAGCTTAAGAAAACTTGCCTTTGCAATCAGCATCTTGCATCCCACATTGCTACTTTAATGGGTAAATTCTGTGTGCTTCCTATAGCTTTCTTGGCAGGCATATCATGGTGCTGATGCCTTTACTTCATGTGTGTGTGTGTGGGGGGTCTACATAGCAGCTTTTGCTTTACTCTCATAATTCTACATGTGACTCTGTCATTGGCTGCTTCCAGGGACTCTAACTGTGAAACACATTGCCTGCTTCCCAAAATTTCCTTTGAAATCTTGGTAGAGGCCTCTATGAACTCATTCCTCTTATATTCTGCTTGTTTTCAAAACCAACATCACATGGATAACCCCAAGACTGGCTAAAAGTGTAAGATATACCTGAGTCATTGTATACATGAGCCATACCTGCAGAAACCTCTTCATGGCTTTCTAGCTGAACAAGGGGAAACAAATCGCTAGATGGTTTTTACATGGAGGGTCCCTTGGGATTCCCTTCTGAAATGAAGGTCTTTGAAACAAATTTGCATTTCTATACATTTGAATATATAATGGATGTGGTAAGTTAGAGATTCCTGAGATGACCTTAGGCATCCTTCCTACTGGGCTGATGCAAAGCATTTAACTGCTTTATTCCGGGGTACTGGGGATTGAACTCAGGGGCACTCAGCCACAGAAACACATCCCCAGCCTTATTTTGTATTTTATTTTATTTTATTTTTTAAATAATATTTATTTTTTACTTGTAGTTGGTCATAATACCTTTTTATTTTATTTATTTATTTTTTTATGTGGTATTGAGGCTTGAACCCAGCTCCTTGCACTTGCTAGGTGAATGCTCCACCGCTGAGCCACAACCCCAGTCCCAATTTTGTGTTTTATTTAGAGACAAGGTCTCACTGAGTTTTTTAGTGCCTGACTTTTGCTGATGCTGGCTTTAAACTTATAATTCCCCTGCCTCAGCCTTCTGAGCCACTGGGATTACTGGTGTGTGCCACCATGCTTGGCTTTAAATGTTTTTTTATAGGCAATAATTTCTTTAGTAACTGCATCCTTCTTGGGCACATGTTTACATGCACTTCTTTTCTGGTCAGACTGAAAACATTTTAAATCTTTCTACTCTTTGTTATCCTTATATATTTGGCTAAATGAGGCCAGTAATTCTCATGCCTGAATGCTATGCTGCCCTAAAATTTCCTCCAACAGATATAGACAGGTTATATATTTCAATTCTCAAAAGAAATAAGGGGAATTGAGATAAGTGAAAAGATCAGAGCAAAACCAAAACCCAGCAGAGCAA